CAAATCTTAGTACCATCACTTTCATTCAGGTAAATGAAATCTAGTACGATCACTTTCATTCAGGTAAATGAAATCTAGTACCATCACTTTCATTCAAGCAAATCAAATCTAGTACGATCACTTTCATTCAGGTAAATCAAATCTAGTACGATCACTTTCATTCAGGTAAATCAAATCTAGTATGATCACTTTCATTCAGGTAAATGAAATCTAGTACGATCACTTTCATTCAGGCAAATCAAATCTAGTACAATCACTTTCATTCAGGTAAATCAAATCTAGTAGTCATATTTATTCAGATAAATCAGACAGTATGGTATGAATACAAAAAAAACATCTTCTCTTGATATACTGTTATTACCTTGACACAAACCACATGTTATTCACAGCCATAGTGAAATGTTCATCTAGTACCAGAAGTAAATTAATCAGGTAATCCTGTGCTTCTTTTGTAACTTGCATCACATTACATGTATATTAAACCATGCTCACATTTTCAGAAAATGTGAAGTCAGAAAATCATGTTTTTTAAATGCATATGAATAATTTTTAGCCACAATTAAATCCTTGTAAGATACTGGGTACAATGAATATAGACAGGGAAAACAGTTAAAATATTATAAAATTGATCCATACAATAATAAGTACATGTATAATTAAAAAAAATGTTGCTAATAGGACAGGATGAGAACCTTACAAACATGTTTAGAAAAGTATTCCCAGTTCTGACTTTTCAGATTTGTAAACACAGTCTTGGAGGAAATACAGCAGCCAACACAAAACAAGTCAGACCTGTGTTAGTGACCACCTTTCAATAAAGACATGCATCCTGCATATAAAGCCCACCGTCAAAAATGACCTGTGACAGCATTTGATGTTAGAAGAATATACATTGTAGTTTACACTAGCCTCTATGCTGTATGTCTCAATTTAATGAAGACAAAAAATATTTCATTTTTATTGCCACCTTCAAGTTTACCAAACTGCCATTTAAATATTATTGTTATATTTTCCATCACAAATTAATTAACCTCCATAGTACCTTGGGTGGTCGCTATACACAGCTTTGACTATACAGTGTTAGGGCCACACAGTTACAGTAGTTACACATCGTCCATGGCCATATGACTTACCAGTACCAACATATAGGATTTCAAATTTACAAGACCATTGGCTTTTATCAGTATCCACCATATTGATAAATTAATATTCATAGGCATATTATTTTAATGAAAGTCTCAACATATGAACATCTAAAGTTGTATTGATAAATGTTATATTTCTTTATAGATGTAGGGAAAGGGTTAAAATCACTTTCTGTCATATTAAATTTCAATGTGTCACACACAAACGACATAATGTAGAGAAATCCATTGTTAAGATCATTCTTTTACTCTATATATTTACAATTTGAATTAACATCCACATGATCCAGTCTTAACTTTAAGCAATTTGGTGATAAAATAATTGTGAAAATAAAATGTAAACATATAGACATGATATCCTTAAATGTGTAAATATAGGTAGGCATGTATGTTAACTGAAGTAGCCAATTATCTCAAAGTTTATTCTATACTGTGTATTGACTGTGTTCGTATAATTATTCACATATACGAGCATAACCACTAAAAATACAATTTACAATAACAGGTGCATTTCGACCTCTCCAAATTACAAGCTACTAATCTGACCAGTCCAGTATACGTTTCTGAAAAATACACACACAGAACAATGATACCACATATCATTAATCCCCACAGTTGATACAAAATTTGCCAAAAAAAAATGAATGGCCCATAGACTAACAACAACAGTTTGAATTTGTGTATACATGATGTATAAACGATGTATTTTACATGTAATTGTATACGTGATATGGCACCCGTATAAAACATGACATGTGCAGTGTGTTGTGACAACAGCAACAACAGCTGTGACACACTGTATAACAGTACATTAATTATATCACTGTCTGGCAGCGCTTGCATAATTCCTGCAGGTCAAAAGTTCCATTTGAATATCTTCCACATTAAACTAAACCGGAATTGTTTCCCTAATTACATAAAATTGAAAAAAATTTTACAGAATAATAAGTAGAATGTACATTTATTCCAGAGATGAATAATAATTGCCATGGTAACACATCACATTGATACTTAGTTTTCCAGTTCTACTCAATCACAAGCTTTTTTTTAATTAGATTATTAATATTATCTCTTATGAGAAAAGTTGAGAATACAATACTTCACCTTGATATTAGATAAATAGTACTAATAGATTAGTGTTGATATCACGAACAGATAATGACCTATCTTGACATAAATACAAATAGCACTGATAATATTTAAATCTTATGCAAATTTATGTTTATAACATTTTAATAACTACTACAACGTAAACTTATACAAAAATTTGTGTTGCCATGGTTACATAATATGCATACATTATAATCCGAGAGATGAAGAGGGGCTCCACAGTGCTGAGATTTTGAGTTATTGTGATGGGGACCCAACATCAAAAAAAGTCATTTTTGCGAATATACTAAACCAAAACTTGAATGACTGGTCATTCCACGCGTTTAGCTTGACTAATATTAGTTAGTCTGTTTACAATAAACCAGTGTGAATTCTACTCCAAAATGTGTCAAACTACCAGCAAGGATATAGTGTAAAAATTATAATAATGATATCAATTTAGTGATATGAATATTTGATGACATTTGTGGAGATGTTGTCGCTATAGACGCTTAACCCACTGAGGATGATCAATACAGTTTCATCAAAACCATTGCTAATTTTCTCATTGGGAGTTTATTTCATTATAATCTATTAACAATAACATAAAGGGGGTCAGCTACTTTGTTGTTCGGAAAGTTTTATGTTTATATAGTGCATTAATACACGGGTTCCAAGAGAAAAAAATAATACATGACCATTTCATTTCATTATTTTACAGAGAATCATGGAGTTACACTCTAAACATATGATGAAAAAATAAATACGAAAAAAAAAATTCTTTAAATTGGCATTATATACACCCTCATTTCGCCCATATTCCTACTAGCATGGATTTTGTGCCCTATGGTGCACATATAACAAAATGGAAATTGTATTGAACATCCTAAATGTATGTACCTGTATACCTGTATTAAGAACTTCTGTTTTAAGTAGCCCAGTGAAATGTTACGATATATTGCCACTTTCTTGACATCACAGAAATAACATAGGTTACAGTAAAGTTTTAAGACACTAGTTGCAGAATTTCGAAGTAAACATCAGTGATACAAAACTAGTACAGCAAGGCCATCATGGTCTTATGATAACAACATTGGTTTTCCTTAAATTGTATTCCTGAGTACCCTTAACTTGACGTGCTAGGAGGTGGTAACATCACTGACTCCCTAGCTGTGTCCTAAAAAAGAGATTACCATAGAAATTATTAAAAGTGGTTAACTTGATCAGTTTTTATTTTAACACTACATGCTAGTAGCTAAAAATATTTATTAATTTGTCTCATAGTGTCATTAATTTCTTGTTATGGAGCAATATTTAAAAAAACAAGCAGCCTATCGGCTGAGATAGCTCCGCTGTTAGCAATGCACATTTCAATTGAAGAACTGAAGACATCACTAGAAAATGAACAATATGTATAGTATCAAAGCAATCGGACTTACAGTTTTTAACAAGTCGAAAATATCACTTTCTACCAAAAACGACAAAAATATTCACCAAAATTAGAGAATTGAAGATATCATCACGAAATGAACAAATCTGAGAAAGGTCTACATGTAGTATCTACCGGTATATATGTAGTATCAAAGCAATTGCACTTTTGGTTTTTAACAAGAAGTCGAAAATATCACTTTTTACCAAAAATGACAAAAATATTCACCAAAATTAGAGAATTGAAGATATCATCACGAAATGAACAAATCATGTAGTACCTATATATGTAGTATCAAAGCAATTGGACTTGTGGTTTTTAACAAGTCAAAAATATCACTTTTTACCAAAAATGACAAAAATATTCACCAAAATTAGAGAATTGAAGATATCAACATGAAATGAACAAACCTAAGAGAGGTCTACCCAAGGTACATATACACCAAGTATCAAAGCATTCAGGCTTGTAGTTTTCAAGAAGAAGTCGAAAAAGTAAAACATTGACAAGGACGAAGACGGACAATCACTCATATGATAAGCTCCGCTCGACAAAGTCAACAGCGGAGCTAAAAAGTCATTGATATGACAAGAGTCCCTGCTGTGCAATAGTAAACAAAACTGAAAATGAGAAATTTTGAAACAAATACATTGTACATAACATGATGTATGATATATGTGTAAAGTTTTATTGTATTCAGAAAATTAGGGCATTATTTTGGTGAGAATAGTATTTACATAGGTGTTTGGCCTGAAGTCTGAAAACTATCACAATATCAAACAAATTTAGGTTCAGTCAGGTTTTCCCATAAGACCCAAAAAGTGTGTTTTATATGGGTTTATTTTCACTAAATTTTGATGAGTTAAATGTAAAATATAGGAAAAAAGGTAAGTTTGCTAAATAAATTTTATTTCCACTGAATCATCCATTCATTGAAAATATGTTCCATAGGAAAATAAATTAAAAGTATTTTTTTAGTTTTCATTACCAATTAGGACTCCCCAAAAAAAATGGGGTGGTGAGGCAATTTTTTTCCCTTAAATACTTTTAGACACTTCGTCAACAGAGGGCGCTGTACAATGTCTGGGAAAAAGTCAACAATTTTTATGGTGGTGAACAAGCTGACCAGAAATTTTAGCAAGTGTTCCACAACAGGTGCTGACATATAAATAGCATTTTAGTAAAACGAAAATTTAGTATATTTAAAAGGATATACTGTATTCACAACAATAAATTGCCTCTAGCCGTTAATAACTCCATTTTTGAACTTGAATTTCCATTCCATTATAGTATTGAATACTGACCTGATGGGCTTGAATAACTTCTGTCCAGTCTTTCTGTGCTATCATGGGAATCACTTTAAACAAAATATTTTTAGCCTTTTCTGCGTTATCTTTAAACGTCTTTAAAACAGCTTCCACACTCACCTGAAATGTACACAATCAAGTATGAAAAAGTGACATACATTACATGATACTTGTACTTCTGTGATAAATATATAAAAAATGACATTAACAAAAATCAGTATTTTTACAGAATAACAATGCAATTTTGTGATCATCTAGCAATTCGTGAGATTTCTTTAATTTGCACAAAATCTTCATCGCATACTATCGCATACCTAACCTTTGCACGAAGACAGTACAGCAGAAGTCAATGCATGGCGTACTGCCCGAGTGCATACTTTGAGGTATTCTCGTAATAACCTCATAAGTATATATTTTTGAACACATTGTGTGTTATATCTGCTTTATCTGTGAACACATTGTGAACAGATCGTGTTGGAACCCAGCTTTTTTTCAATTTTGGATATTTTAATGTTTTAAATTTTAGTACAATGTATTCACATCAGTGACTATAACACATCATCTGCTGAAAGCCTCCATGAATCAAAATTATGTCAGCATCTATTTCACCACCAGTTTCTTCTGTTCATCACAAATTCACAAAATAGTCTTTTTAAAAGTCTGCACTTTCCTTCAGAAGATTTGGACAAAAATAGCCAAATTTTTTTGAGTAAAAACCGTACATTCACTCAAATTGTCTGTTGGCTCCAAAATTAGGGTTCATTTCCAGAAATATTGAAGAATATAAGGAAACACATTTTGGTGAGAAAGTCTGGTGGTTTAAATTATCTGTACTAACTACACATTGATATTGTTTTGATAAATTGAGTCAGCACTAACGATCTCTCTTACCGTTTCCCCGGATTCTTTCCAACAATCATAATCAGTTGCCATGGCAACACTAGCATAACAAAGACCAGCTTCCTTTGCTAGTACAACTTCAGGCACAGTGGTCATGTTAATGACATCAGCTCCCCAACTGCGAAACATGCGACTCTCAGCAACAGTTGAAAATCTTGGTCCTTCTATGGTAACCATGGTTCCTGATGAGTGCGCTGTAATACCCAACTCTTTGCATGCTTCAATATAAACCTGCAACAAAATGACTTTTTTTTGTGATTTGAGAGATTTATAAGATATACAAGGGTGTGATGAAGATCGCAGATAAACTGACGTCACATGAAATATAATCACAAAATCGCAAGACAACCCTACATTTTTAGAAATCATAATTCAAATTAATAATTCTGTGAAAAAAATTAAACTGATTCATGTTCATCTCAAATTATTTTTTTTTAGTGTCCTTTCTTATTCGCAAAGCAATGCCATTTTTAATGCGTCATTGAACTTGTTAATTTCTGTTACACACATGTGCCACAGAGCCGGCTTGACTAACTTTGTAACAATTGTTTATTTAAAAAACTTGCAATGAATCGAACTCTAAAATGTTCTATATTTTAGGATTTTTGTTTGATTGGCCAATCAGTTAGAATACCCAAAATTTATAAATTTGTTGTGCAACAACAAAAATCGGCAAACTTTGACAAATTTTCCTTCGGTTAAATTTATTATTGCTTGAAATATGCAAGACACGTGTTATTACACACAGTAAAATTACACATAAACATGACAAACACCCTTTGCATATACTAACCTGCCGCGTATGTTCACAAAACGGTGTGTGCATTGGAATATGACAGACACCTCTTGGGCTGCTATATGAACCGTCATAAAATGTTTGTTGACGTTTAGTTGTGCGGTCAATAAACTGATCTAGGATGACCACATCACCTGGTTTGATTTCCTCTCGTAGTGATCCACAGGCGGTTGTCACTAATAAATGCGTACATCCTTCGGCTTTCAGTGCATGTATATTGGCACGATAATTTATATTCGTTGGCATTATAGAATGACCACGGCCATGCCTATTTGTAAAAAGACAAAATACATTGATTAGATTTTTTAGGTAATAGATATTTTCTTGAGATAATGAAAAATGCAAAAGCCCTTTCACTATACCTTAAAGATACTATCTATAAATCCCCTGATTAAAAGTTGCGAGAATATTGAAGTTATTATTTTGATATTTTTTTAGTCTTTATTTTTTCAGTTTTACTGTTTGTTATTATTACATGTTTATTTATGTCTTGTTATTCTCTTTACCTTACTAAATCCTCTGATGATTTACTTGTGTAATATAGTTATTATTGAGACAGGGTTCAGATTTATAATGCAAGTAATTGGTAATAGATATTACTGAAATATAGGTGAAATGGCAATGTTGATAGCTTCATAATCTTATGAAACTCAAGTAGAGATTCCAGTTGTGAGTCTACATCATCATTTCCAACTACTGTAAACTACTTAATTTTAGCTGGAATTAATTTTCGCTGAAAAGGATTTTTGGGTGTTTTGTATGGAATTTATTTTCACTGATTTTTGATGAGTTGAATGTAAAAGATAGAAAAAAGGTATATTCACTGGATTTTATTTTCACTGAAGCATCCTTTCAGCGAAAATAGATTTCAAGCGAAAAAATAAAGTATTCTACAGTATGTCTGACCAACTATCTATGCAAGTCACATTAAACATACAAAACTTGTGTTACAGGCCACCTTCTTGTAAAATACACTTACATGGTTGACAGCTCCCACCTTCTTAAAGGTAACTAATAAGAGCTTTTATTTATAGCACCATACAAATTACTATTACAAGCACAAAAATATCGCAAAGTGAACACTCAGGCAGTTTGTGATCGCTTCGATCAATTTCGATTTTGTTTGTTTTTGTCCATGAGAAAAACATACTTTGCTCTCAATGGCAAAGTTAATATGGTAACTAGTTTTAAATACAGGGGAGCTAGAGGGCCCCTTTGGGAGGTCAGTGATTTAGAGGTCAAATCTGCATATTATGATTGGTCACAATCATATTGATTATACTGCTCTATTAGCATAAATAAACAAACCTTGTTTTGCGAGCATTTTTAATTCAATACTCAGTTCAACAACAAAAAATATATCTAAATGACTCATTTAGAATGTGGGTCTTCAAATCCATGTGTGTGTTATTCTCTTTGACCTCCCAGGCCGTACCTTGATTTAAAAGGAAAATAACTTACCGTGCAAGTAAGACACACTCTACGTCACTGATCTTGCCAAGAATCAAAGCATCTGATGGCTGAAAGTAACACATTGGGAATAAAAAAACATAACAAATAATTTGTGTGTGAGATATAATTTACTGCTGAAAAACACACTGTTAATTACTATGGCAACAGTTTGGTACAGATAAAACAATAACTACCTCATAGCATATCAACTATCTGAAGTATTACCATATTACCAATAAATTATTTGTTTATTTGAAAAAAAATAAATCTTATCAATATAAATGTCTAGAAAATCCTTGTAATATCAGTAAAACCAACGAATATGATTATGTTGTTCAAAACCTAATACATTACATTAATTACTTTCATTCCACGTTGTCACTAGTCTTACACTGACTCCAGGACTTTCATTACATTTGGTCACTAGTCTTACACTGACTCCGGAACTTTCATTACATGTGGTCACTAGTCTTACACTGACTCCGGAACTTTCATTGCATGTGACCATCTTTTAGTCTGTCTGACTAAATGTTTACGTTCATGATAAAACCACAGGACTCCTCGAGATTGAACAATGTGATTCAAAAACAATGCTATTAGAAGTAGCTCATCACATGCAATACTTACCTTGCCATATGGAGTTTCTACAAACTTCTCTTGTCTATCTTGGAACAGATCAGGATTGTCCACACCAGAACCACCAATGATACCAATCTGTAAAAATATCACATACAGTTGAAGAATGAATAACAAGAAACATGCTTTCATTTATAACCTCCAGCAAACAGTCTCCTGGTAGAATATGATGATCAGCATTAAAATTAACTGAAGCCTGGTAAATTATAATCATGGTACATATATGATGAGATAATTATTAAAAAAAAAACCTGCAGACACACCTTTATCTTTCCCTCAGCATCACCATAGCACAAATAAGAACACATTTTTTTGAAACAGCAGATATACAACAGTTGCTATATAAATAGTGATATCAATACATGTGTTAATCCAAAATTAAACCAGTCTAAATATACTATACTGTAATCCTTACTTTAAATATAACCCTGATGACTAAATGATTGTTTTTGTACCTGGCCGAATTTTAAGAATTATATTATTTGATATTTCATGAATAAGAAATGTCAAGGTGAATTGATATATTATATACTGTGTGTGTTTATTTTATGCTAGATGGTAAATTGCTAGAGTAAAATGAAATCAATTGTTTTTGCACAAATGAGGTAGTATGCGTAATATAAAGACTTGATATGCATATACATGTACAAAAAACAGCTCCAAATTGTTCTCTCATTAGAGATTAATTTCGACAGGTTTCACTACATAAATATACATGATTGTTTAAAAGGAAGTAGAATGATACTAATGTGTGTAATTGCATAGAGACTGATCACAGAAATATTTAAAGAATAACAAAGTAAAATTTGAAATTAAAATTGGCATTCTGTTTTATTTGCGAGGGTGATTTATAAATATCAATGTGTGATAAAATTCATATAATGGGCTACATCACCAATTCCACTTGTAAGACATAAATGACAGCTGTATTTCTGTAGAGATCTTTTTCAACTGGTAATGAATTTCTGCAGAGCCTTAGTTTTGTAATTGATAGTTTCACAATACAGTAACTATTTCACATTTTTGACTCGGAATGATGCCATTTTAAACTTCTTTGGGATTTAATCTCTCATTTCACAAGAGTTTGTAATGAATAAATTGTCAGTTATAATTACAGTCTGCATTCAAATCTCAGGTAAACAATCAATGTATTTTCCATGCATTCAGCCAAATAAAATAGGTAAATCTATCTACCCATTTTGGTAGAAAATCAAAAAGTTTATTTTGTGCAAATGAGCACAAACTATTTATTTCTATGCAAATTAGCTATGGTCATTCTACCAATGTCTGTGCATTGCACTCTAGAGCATCTATGTATCATGTTTCAATGAAATGTAATGATTAGTACCTGAAATCATGACACTACAAACCTAGTTTGTAGTTCCATGCTGAAATATAGACAGAAAAGTAAAAATTAACTAATTATGCAAATTAGTAATAAATATGCACAGATATTGAGCCAAAACCTATCAGGTCTGTACACCATCCTTTGACATCCACCTATGTACCAAGTATCATTGAAATATTTCTTACACTGGATACCAGCCGATACACCCCCCCCCCCTCTCATAGAGACTGTGTACAGCCAGAGGTACATTACTTGGGGTTTGCAACTCGCATAGTACTGTATGGTGACATCATGTCAAGATCCCATTCAAGTCTCTTCTCGTAGATAGCGAGACTGAGGCTACCCCCTTCTGACATGACGCATATCAATATTCAAGGTTTGTAATGAAAAAAATAAACTTTTCTTGTCACTATCATAGTGAAAAATGTAATACATCGAAAATGTACAGAAAATATAGTTCTCGTAATCCGTCATATCGTGGGCAGCTATTTTGATCCACCTGGACATCCCAGTATCCTAGTTACCTCGGGCATGCACATTCGCATTTTTTCTGAGTTGGAACGCTTATGCGAGAGCGAGATTGTGACGGGATCTTGGTATCATGTCACCGTAGTTACAAACCCCAAGTAATGTACCTCTGGTACAGCTGATCATAGTTCCTGTGCTCCCTGTGATGGGGATAAGTCATAAAGGTTTCATGTACATGCAGGCAACAACACTCCCATAAGGAAATATATAATATTAAACAAATCAATTTTTTACCAATCATACTTGAGACATGGGTTGACGTGGTATTTGCCTCCAGTCATATACATATGTATAATTACAGAATCAACATGTGCACAATCTGTCAATCTTTAATACACCCAGCTACCCATACTTGCTAATAAAAAACTATTTGCTAGTTGCCAGTTCAAATTAATCATATATTTCGAATATTTATGTGTACTTACCTTTATTTTATGTGACATCTCGATATGTGCGAATATGAGAATTACTGAGAATTATTAAGCGAATCTTTGCAACGCGGGTGAAAGGTCACACTCATTCACAAAAACGAAAAGTCTCGCGGAAACCGAGAGTCTAACGTGACTAACAACCTCATTCACAACTTCCTAGTTATACACCATTTTATCAATTAATTACTTAACAATTTTAAATTTAATTTAACTGATTTTCAATATTATGATGTAATTAAACATTATAATTTCAAAATGTAGGTTTCATACAACTGGATCAATTTACACGTGGCGTAACGGGGACGAGGATGCATAAACATCGCGATTTCCATGGCATCAAAACATCGTGACGTCATCATCGCAGAGCAATTGGCAGCCATTTTCAAACTCTGGTCGTGCTTTGTGGAGCTTTTGCGTGGTTTCCGTGTCACCACAGTTATTTACAACTGACTAACTTGTAGACGTTTTTCTTACAAACAGTCAACACCTGGTGACCCCGGTTGCATTTCTCAAAGCGTGTGTAATTTGTTAGCGTTGTAGCAACGAGTTCTTTTACTTTCCGGTTCACAATTATTAGCCCCACCTTGGCTGCAAAATGGCAGGCACGGCGAGACACGACAGAGAAATGAAAATGGATGCAGAGAAAAAGCTCAGAACTGTCCAAGACCCAATCGAAAAGCTGAGGTTGCAGTGTTTGGCCAGGGGTTCCAGCGGTATTAAAGGTCTTGGAAGGTAAGTTTGCGTTCTGGTCTCGTCCGGTTGTAAGCTACCATTGATTACATGTTGCAACGCTGTTTAGCCGTTAACGGCAGTTGACAAATTACGTAATACTGTAAGTTGTTTTGTTGTAGTCGTGCAACAAATTGTGGTTCAACTGTCAAAAAACAACATTGATAGAATGGATATAAAATGTATATCATAGCACTGCTTACAGGGGTGTCATTCGTTGAGTTGAATCATTGACAAGTCACCTTTGTCAGCTGGAGAATCAGTTTTGTGTAAAAGTGGTTGTTATTTTGTGTGTTTCAATAAACATGCGTACACGACCGCCATACCAAACATTGCAACATTTAGAGCTCAGTTTGGTGGACAATCACACATTTCATTTTTCAAAATTGTCTATACCTCTACAGCAGCAAATAAGGAGGCTAAATGGCTGCTGTTACATCCTGGTAGTTAGCATTCCCTATAAAAACTATTTGCTTGAATACACAGTCAGCTTGCGTACAAGTGATAATCAAATAAATGTCTACTGATATTTACTATATGGAGCAGCCATCTTGACTATGACTTAAAACTAAAGAGACAGGGTTTTTCCCGATTCCTACACATCAGGAAAAAAAATAACAAACTTTCACAGGCAAACAATCCGTTTGGGCAAAATTCAGCCCAAAACCTATTTTTGTGTGGAAAAATCCATTGCATACAAATTCCTAATTACTCTGTTCGAAGACTATGATTTATTGTATGTTCTCAAAATATTCCGTGTACATGAAATACAATGCATTTGATTTACGGAGAGGAAATAAGCAAATGAAAAATATTGTTGAGTTATAATGTAGAAAATGTACAAATCAGGGATTGAATAGAATTTTTTCTCTGCATGCACAGTGTGCATGTTGAATTTGAAATTTACATGCACTAACTTGTGAAATGCACCACTTTTGAAGTTTAAATAAAATTGACTGGTTCTCGATTGATGCGATCACGAATTTGTAGTCTTACAATGTTGGTTGAACTTAATTTAGGCTTAGTGAAAATATAATGAGAAATTGTTTTGTTAATTTCTACATGCACAGTGTGCACATTATATTTTGAGTTTACTTGCACTAGCTAATAATCTTTGTGCATAGTGCAGTGTGCACCAGAGTATTTTGACCCCTGAAAATATACAAGGTCCACGAAGCCAGAACAGATGATTTGTCAAAATAAAACCAATAACATTTGTTTTGTTATTTGTGACACCAGTAAAATTCATCAGTACACTCAATGTCGATACATTATAATAAGATACATTTACACATGTACAGTCAGTTAATACACATTGCATTCTCAAACACAGTTGTGGAATTCAAGAAAAAATACCAGCAATTGGCAAAATACAAGAATATCCAATGTTGAAAAATTCGTCATTAAAAAATTGTCTTCTCCTTCTGGTTGGGCAACTACTCTTTTATTTCAGCCTGGGAAGAACAATGCAATCTCATTTCAGCTGGATGTACGCAGGCTTGTGTAGACAGTAAGCAAGCTGGTGTAAAACTTGATGGGTGGGTCACCCACCTAAAACTTCTTGTGGGCCTAATTTTGCAATAAACTGATCTTTTCAGAGTTTTCAAAATTATGGATGATGATGGCAACAAAACACTAAGCATGGCCGAGTTCAAAAAAGGTCTCCGTGACTATAAATGTGATGTACCTAAGGCCGAAATGGAAGAAATGTTTCAAGCTTTTGATAAGGATGGAAGTGGAACAATTGACTTCGATGAATTTCTTGTGGAACTAAGGGTAAGTTATTCTAAGTTATTATTCTACCAGCAAAAATGGAATGACAACATTACAGCATACAACACTGTTTTGCTAGCATTTATTGAAGTACACTTTTCCAAGAATGCGGACAAATCAGAAACAAAAGAAAATTGGTACAGATGTAAAATATAGCATTCCACTAAAGGAAAAGCACTGCATGTACTTTAAAACTATTTATTTTCACTGATATTTAATTTCACAATTTTGATGTTTTGAGCATATTCACTGGGTTTTAAGTTAAGCGAGGAGTCATCACTTGCGCATGCGTCAAATGGCCATAGCGTGTCATTGTTTACAAACTAGCGTCTACCCATAAGCCTTTGCATTTTTTAGCGTGTGTTATCGTCGCTTGGGACTAAATTCCCACATGTGCGCAGGTGACACCCTCTTGCTTTCATGAATTTGACGAGGAAACACTGAGTTGTACGGTTATTCTACAAGTCCATGTTTTAAGTTAGTGTTTTGTACTCAACGAAAATTAAATAAAACCCAGTGAATAATAATTGCATTTACAGTATATCAAGAACCTTCTTTGCCACTCAATTAGACGGAATATATTCATTATATCTTTACAGATATTTGCATAAACATGTATACAATGCCTGTGGATATGTCTGATCATATAAAGTTCTTCCTAGAAAATATCTACAATTGATAGATATTTAAGCAAAATACCTTATCTATAAGTGTAACTATTCACTGCTTCATCTCACTGCATACTATTTTCACAACTTCACCTGTATGCTATAAACAGTTCTGTTGATTGCTGCATACATTGTTATTTTACTATTTTAGTCTTGAGAGAAAGAGACTGCTCAGAGACGTATATCTGTGTTACAGTATACCAGGTTTACCCATCCCTTATATGTACTACTTTTCTGTCTCAACTTTTAGCCACCAATGTCAACTGCTAGGAAAAATGTCATCTCTGAAGCCTTCCGAAAACTAGACAAAACAGGAGATGGCGTAATAACTATAGAAGATCTGAAAGGTGTCTATAATGTCAGCAAACATGCCAAGTACATGAACGGTGAATGGACAGAAGAACAAGTGTTCCGATCTTTCCTAGATAGCTTTGATACACCGAATGAAGCAGATGGCAAGGTAAATTTCTTTATTCACTTGTCAAGACACTTCTTTATTTTTCAATTTACTTTTTTCCAGCAAACATAATAACCATTCCAATTTTAATCTTACCTTTTTAGCCAGTTATATCTTATGTCTATTCATAATTCTTAATTGTCTTTTTCAAAATAGGTCATCTTTTTACATTATATTCTTGTTATTGACAATCCACGTTTATGACACAGCTGTGTGTTCTGGTCATCATCATGTTAGTATAATGAGTAATTAAAATTCCAAAAACTCATCATTTTCCCACACAGGTGGTTGTTTCATTACTCCATAGTAAAATTCCAAATATTTTAAAAATGAAATTGAATTCTGTCAGAACTGAAATTTTGATTCCAAGGTTTTAATTTGTACGATTTCAGGAATTTATTTACAACAATTGCAATAAATACATAGCTGTATCATATGTGGAACTACTTTATGCTCAGTTCAATAATTGACAGGAAGTATCAGTACGTGAACATTGTCCAAATTCCATGGTACAACCTACGGCAACTAGATTTGAGTGTGCCAGTGTAAATATTGTAAATCTTTTTTTTTTCTCAAATACTTACCAAATCTGTTTTTTTTTTATCTAAAATTGATGAACTGTTTTGAACATGTGTTAAAATCATCACTTTTGCTAATAGTAACAATGATGGCAATATTCACGGTAGACAGTAGACAATCTTTAATATTGAAATTGTTGATTATGGAGCTGAATATAAATTAATTTAATTTTAATTCTTACAGTGACTGGTTTTCTCTTTAATAGTATTGTTTACAATGATTTTCTTCTTTGTTATGACCAGCAAACACTTTCTCTGCATATCTGTATATGTACTATCTGTTCTGCTATCCATGCTCTGCTCAGTGAATAAACTATCCAAAACAGATTTTTTTCCGTATGTTATTAAAATCACGAATAAGTAGTCGCCAGCATTGGCAATACCTCAAAAACAAGTACATGTTTTGCTTGTAAAACGCATCATGGCCAGATTAGGCTACCATGATCACTTCCTACTAAGCAATGCATTCATCTTTTGTTTTTTAAACTTCCTTTAGACTATACGCTTTTGTCACCAACAAAATTAAAACAAATACGTATAACATTAAAATAAATTATTTTTTGTTACCATGTGGAAATACCAAAATTTTTTGTTTGACTGCAAACTTTCAACATTCAGTGATGCCTATATTTTGAACCAAATAAGACTTTTCATTCTTCCCAGAAATGATGCCTAAATTAGAGCGACAATTAGAGTACTAAGTATTTACAGTATCTACTGTAAAGGGGTTAATTATTCACTGGGTTTTAGTTTTGCTTATTTCGTTGACTGGAAAATGCACTAAATTAAAACCCAGTGAATATGTAAAATTTAGTGTAGAACACAATTCAAAACCTACTAAATATGCCTGAAATGGTAAATCGGCGAAATTTAAACCCAGTGAAAATTAGTCATTTTACAGTATATGAGAACTCTTTCTACAAACTTAATGTTACAACTGGTAGTTGTTTACAGTATTTATATCACATAAACTGTGACCTTTGTATGTGTAATTAGTAAGTACTGATAGTACAGGCAATTTTGGTTCAATGTCCAATATACTTTAAAACACTACATTAACTAACAAGGTACTAAGTTGTCTATTTTTCCTGACATTTGCCAAAACTCCAAATCTTGGCTATATCAATTGCCATAATATACATACATATGAACTTGTTAAAATCACTATTTACAGGTTAATATAACATTCTAAACGGCCTGAAAATTCAACACATATTACAAGTACTTATTTTAAAAATAGTTAATTCAGTTTAGGACATCAACGTAATAATTGCACCACCTGTTCCAAATGGTTTCTGCTACTTGCCCCCTTCAAGGGAACTTAGAAATTGCCGTATTGAAGCCTCTTTTAATATGTCAACATAATGTGTTCACATCTGTTTGTCATTGTAAAGGAACTCAAAACGCAACGTTTTACATGAAGCACTTTTATGCCTTGAATTTGAGATTATAGAACTCTGATTATTAACTCTTTAATATATCTTTATCAAATTTGACAATACATTTCATCCTCCAATTACTATAAAATACTTTATTTTAGCTGGAATTAATTTTCGCTGAAAAGACGTATTGGGCGTTTTGTATGGAATTTATTTTCACTGATTTTTGACAAGTTGAATGTAAAATATAGGAAAAAGGGTATATTCGCTGGATTTTATTTTCACTGAATCATTCCTTCAGCGAAAATAGGGAAAATTAATTCCAAACGAAAATAAAGTATTTTACGGTACCTTCTCTTTACTTATCCTTGCTGTATATTAGATTCATTAATTTGTGATCATTGTTGGTGTGGTGATAATGTATGTAGAATGTCATGCCATAACTAATAATTATTACAGGTGACTCAAGATGAATTTGAAAATTACTACTGTGGTGTAAGCGCTTCGATTGATAAGGACTGTTACTTTATACTTATGATGAAAAATGCATGGAAACTGTGAATGTGTAATTTCATGTAGGCGTACTTTATTATTACCATTGTTTATTATAATCCTTTGCACTACTGTACAGAGAAGAGGTGTTCAGCATTGTCTGCTGGCATTAGTCACAGCTGTATTTAATATTAGGAATATGCAAATATACAAATGTTTATGGAACAAAATTTCAGAAATCTAAAGATTATTACAGTGCAGAGAAACTTTTTTTATACATTTTTACTCGTACATATAATGCATATAATATCAGCTGAACTACTAGCTCACTTGTCAAAGTTGAACATTTCTCTTGTACTGGATATCTACGGTAGTACTGGCCAATTCCTGAATATCTTCTTTGAAAAAGAGTAAGTTTGGATATTCTTGGTTTAACGGCTGGTTGAAGTACTGACCACACAAATAGTGACAGATACTATCAAGATGAGGGTCACGTATTATACCCCAGTCTGTACATGTGCCATGTATGACATGTGGTATATTTTGAACTGAGGGGTGCATACATGTACTACAGTACTAGTATTACAGATTACAGTATTATAACTAAAACTCAAAATACCTAATTGAGATTGTATCTGTGACTGTTGGTAAGATAGTGCGTGTGTGTGTATGTAACACTTAGCTTAATGGTGGTAGTTGCTATTTCAATCCTCAGGTCACCGAGGACGAGTTTCAGAACTATTATTGTGGTGTAAGTGCTTCCATTGACTCCGACGTGTATTTTATTACTATGATGAAAAACGCCTGGAAATTGAATTAGGTAACTGAAACCATGTGGACCTAAGCTAATGTATACTAATCTGATTCATTATCAATCACTATCGTAATGCACTATTATCCCATATCCTTTCATTCCTAACATTAACATCTATTATTCTCACTGCGTTTATTTCATTCATATTATTTAATTGTGTGATTCCCATATATATCAATGCATAGTACAGTCCAGCCATGCAGATGTGGGGGATTAAGAGGTTCATTTCTTAGCCAACTGGCTACTACCGACAAAAATTGATCAACATGGCTACCAAGATGATGGCGACTTGGATGGCTGACTTTATTTTTGTAATCATGTTTTTTCCCACAGCTTAATGCCTCTTACATACTGTTCTTGCAATTCACATATAAATATGATTTGCATATTTGTTTTCATAAATAGGATAGTGGGTTGAAAAGTACAAGTAAAGCACTAAAAATTGTTAAAAAACTGTCAGGTTTTGTTTTCTGCTGCTGCTGTATTCACTCCAACATCAATATAGAATCATAACAGTACACTGATTCTGGCAATCACAATCAAACCCACATACTGCTTTAATCTTAATCACATGTTTTATTCAATGTTGACATATTCTCATAGTATCAGTTATATATGTGGTTGGGAACACATCAAATATTGCCAACTTATTGTGAATAAAGTCCTACACAGTATCATGCACAATTGAACTTAATGGTGATAAGGTGTAGTCTTGGTGATAGAACTATAAATGTGGTTATATAATGGTGACGGGTATTCTGTAGTTAATTCACAATGTTCCAGTTATTTCTACTTGTGCCAGTATAGAAACCTTACAGCTACCTCGTTTTGTTGTTTCTACACAACTCAATTTTGTAATTTGTGATTCCACACTTGTGTTCTGTGCATGTACTCAAAATTGTTGTACATGTATTTAAAATTAAAAATTACATACATACATGAGGTTAGAGATAAATGCAGTTGAGATCAATTGAAATTTCTAGGGATTGCATTAAATATATATATATATTGTTGGCAGTGATGGTTAATGCATCACCATCTGCAGAGACATAAAAAAAAAGCACATGGATCTCTGCATGATTGATTGTTGATAAGGCACATGTTGCATCAAAGTATTAATTTTTACAAAGTCGGTACTGATTCCAGCAGGTGCAAACTTAACATTCATCATGCCCCAAAATAGTTTGGCTTAACAAATAAATATACTGGAACAAATGTGGAACCACTAAACTTGTACAGCCGATGAGTAAATATTTATTTTTTTGTATGTTTGTTTCTTCCTCACAGATAACTAATGAAGAATTTATAAATTACTATTCTGGCGTGAGTGCCTCAATAGACAGCGATTGTTATTTTATTCTTATGATGAAGAATGCTTGGAGGTTGTGATTCTATCAAATGAATGATTGTAACTGTGGTTATCAAGGAAAATTCTTCTGTCAATTGCAAAGACCTGGTAAAAAAAGGTTTCTGGTAGGCATCATACCTTGTATGAGAATATTTTATTGCCAATATCACAATTATTGGATCCTGTCTATATAAACCAGAATCTAATTTTTTTTTTATCACGTCTTTTCTTACTGTATTTTTATACCAACATTTTATTCTTTTTATCCTTGTAAAAGCATTTTTACTCATGGCTGTAATTGTAATCGTTCCTGAAATTAATCTTGTGATTTTATCTGTGATTTCTGTATATTTATTCTTTTCACGTGCCATATTAGCCAATCATTGCTATAATATTGATTTATATATTTTCAATAGCAGCATGAGAAATCAGTATAAGCTTGTTAGTAAAAGTATTCCAATTATTAGGTGAACTGCAAATCAAGTCAATAATTAGAAGATAAAATTTCAATCAAATATAAAATTATAAAGAAAGTAAATAATAATCAATGATCTATGTAATCTTGTAGAAATAGTAGTTTAAGACATTACACACGTCACTAAGTCCAAATTGAAGTAGATTTTCAAACATGTTGCATACTACTTTTTTTTCTCAGTGGATGAATTTATCAACAACTTGATGGTTTCGTTTAAATTTGATTTATTTACCCAACAGAGCACTATAACTACTATGTATATCATGGCATTATTGTACATGGTGTGGTTTAATTTTGAAATCATGTTTATTATTTAAACTGAAAATATGGCAAACAAGATAGCTGCAACAGCTTCGTCTCGGCAGTCACTTTAATGCATTTTATTACTTAATACAATTGCTCCATCCAGATTTCAGTATTGGCTGCACAATTTTTCTTAAAATGTTTTGTTTTTCAATGTCCCGTAACATTTTTCAGTCCAGAAAAACCTACCAACTTGTCCAACAACAGATGGTGTATGCTTACCCTTCCATTATTGCATATTTGCCAAACATTCAATCTTTTAAATTATTGTTTAATATTTTGTCCATATTTCAGTTAACTGAAATGTTAACCAAGTAAAAGCTGGGGCCTCCCTGTGTCCATGTAGTTTTTACATCAGTTTCAGTATTACCGTTACTAGTATGATATTGGTAATGGTCGCAATAGTCCTTTTGTCAACATTGTACATTTCAACTCTATTTGGCACTACACTGATTTTTCTTTTGTGCCTAATTTATACACCTTTTTTTAACTAATTATGGAGCATAACATTTCTTGTAGAATTTGTATTCCTGGCAACAAGTGAATAGCGCCCTCTATGCATCATGTATTTGTTTTTTTGTAGATGGCACTGTTCTATAGATTGTTACTGCTTTTGTCACTATTTAATTTATACTTTTATCAGTAGTGTGAAAAAGAACTTAAATTCTAGGAGCATTTTAGGGACTTGTTACTCTAATTGTAAATATTTGTAATTTATAACTATTTGTTGGTAAAAAAAAAGACTTCAAATAGACTGGTGATGAAAATTAAATTTAAAAAATAATCAGATGTTTGTGTGTTCTTTGTCATTTATTTTATTGCATCTATACAGTAAATAAGTTGCGTGCTAGATACAACATGGTTACAGTATACAACCAGCATAAAGTGTATGGGTTTATGTGACAAGACAATCATGATTACTTATTGTGGGGTGTTTGGTTACTAGTTGAAATAAAATTCATGGCTCAATACACGGCCAGTTTTGTAACAAATGCGTCTTGTATTGAATCTATTAAACATGTATTAAGTTTACTCGGGTCTTGATATTAGACAACCTGTTAAAGGTGTTTAGAGTTGACTAGAGTCTTGAAATTGGCCAATCTTTGGAAGGTTTGTTATGCGTGTGCTCAGTGCTGAACGTTAATTCACATACTGTAAAATACTTTATTTTAGCTTGGAATTAATTTTCGCTGAAGGAATGATGCAGTGAAAATAAAATCCAGTGTATATATCTTTTTTTCTTATGTTTTACATTCAACTCATCAAAAATCCATACAAAACATCCCGAGTCTTTTCAGTGAAAATTAATTCCAGCTAAAATATTTTTTACAGTACATGCATACAGATGAATAATTCAATGCATACCATTTCCAGAAGTCGCGCCTTGACTAAAGATGTACATACAGTCTTAGCCAAGGTGTGGTTCACAATAGCAGTTTATAAAATATGTTAAATTTATGTAGCTTGGAAAATAACTGCTTCATTTTGTCTTTTACCGGGGGTATACAATTGTAAATGTTTCCTTGGGCCTGGAAGATGCCCTTGCTCTGCAATATGATAGATCTGGGCAAATCAACGCAAAAATGTCTGAATATTGACGTACTAATACAGCCCTCTTGTATCTTCCTCTTGGAAGCGATCGATGATAGTAGCCAAACCAATCAATCTCTGAAAGTAAGATCCTTGGCCTGGGCATCTAGGATACACTGTAAGAATCTCCTGCCAAATTAAGTACGAGTATTTGGTCAAAATGAAATGTGTCTTTAATAATTGTCCAGGCCCTAAAACTGCTAACATTACGGGTCTCAACAATCACCAATCTCGGAGAACGCAAAACACAAATTGGGCCCTCGTACAACAGTCGACTGGAGTTGCAGTGCTTGGTGAGTATAATTAGGAGAATTGTATACCCATCAAGCAATGTCATTCCAGTCAACTGTGCCTTGGCTATCCAAATAAACTTATAGTAAGGTTATTTTACACAGAGTCAATAAGTCAACTATATACCCATTCAAGAGTGATTTGTATGATTTTTTAAAACCATATCATCAAAGTAGTTATAGTTTCTAATAATGAATCCACACCAGTTCTGGCACAAAGTCTTGGATAATGAATTGTTTAACCATTAATCTTTGTGAAATGATGTTGACAATGGAAAGTTTTATCATGTTAATGAAGTGGTTCACCAGAAACTACCAAAATGCAAGTTATTCATATGTGGTGTGACTATAAGGAAAACCTGGAATGAAGCAAAACAAACTCAAAACTGAAAACAATATCAACATCATTCACTCGTGTAATAAATCCAAGACAATGAACATTGACTTGACTAATATACTGGAATCGCATTTCCAAGATGATAGAATTCATGTAAATAGTGAAGGTTCTAATCGCCTAGTGGCAAACATCAGTCCAGCTTTCGGTCACTTGAAGATCGACCACAATAAAGAAACTATAAACCAATACATCTTTATGACATCCTTTATTAACCTGTACTGCTGCTTTTGTTGACTTGAAAAGTGTTTGACTCTATTTGGAGTCAAACTTCAAGTCAATTTTAATGGAAATGTATCAACTTTCATGTAAGATAGTAAAAACTGCATTGCAGACATATATTGCAGTGAAATAATGATGTCCACTCAGTCCAGTATTGTTCAGTGTATTCATGATGACTTTTTTGTATTAAATACAGCTTCTAATGATCAATCCCAGCTTAACAACACAAACATATCAAGTCTTCTTTTTGAAGATGATGTCATAATCACATCTACGTCAAAAGAAACTCATCACTCAACACTCTTCAATCATCACTCAACACATTACATGAATATATATATATATATTTTTTTAATGTTTTTTTATGCCAGGCGACAATATCGGATATTAAATGTCACTGTTGTCTCTCGTGAGTGCAAGTGCTGATACATAGTGCATGAATATAGTATAAAATGTGAACACAACTATTTCAAAATCTTGATTTTCACCAAAAATGAGCATGAATCAGAAAAATCATCATTCACATATGAAAATATGACTTTAGACAAAAACAATAAGTATACATATTTAGGTGTAACATCATTCAATACTCTTATACAAAACCACGAGGACACTTGCTGACCAAGCTAGGGAATAAGAACACTAGATCTATAATGGTATCAACAATATGTTGTTGAAAAAACTCAAACTTATTTGATAGTTTTCAATCACCAATCCTCCTGTATGCATCTAAGATGTATGTGGAGTCACAGTCGAATCTAAAGCAGTGGGACGAAACGGATACACAAAATAATGAATGGTATATATCAGGTGAAGTCAACGAGTAAATTTTCAAAAATGTTTGGTATTTATGTTTGATCAGCAGTAACCTAATTTATGAACATTATTAAGGCTTAATTTAATTTGAAGGGGAGAGGTCAATCTGTTCGCAACTCCTCTCAACCAAATTAAATTGCCCTCCCACTGTTTTTTGCTCCCACTGCCCTCTCCCCACTCAGTTTTTGTTCCCCGCTGCCTTCTCTCCACTCTGTTTTGCTTCCACTGCCCTCTCCCCACTCAGTTTTTGTTTCCTGCTGCCTTCTCTCCACTCGGTTTTGCTCCCACTGCCCTTTCCCCACTCAGTTTTTGTTCCCCATGAGCCATTTCACCAGCAACACTCTTTATTAAGAGAGTTGTACCCAAGTTCAAATTTCGCACTTCTGAAAAATACAATGTACAATCAGTGATATTGCCCTTACCCGCTCAATCAAAAATGGAACTTGCCTGCCCTCTGAATAAAAATCTTCTCCTACTGGAATTCCCCTCTGAGAAACCCTATTTTTAATTCCCTCCCACTGAATATGTTTTATTTTGCCTGCCCGCTAAAAATCCCTTGCGAACATATTTTTTCACGAACAGCTCCGTTGACTGCACCTGATATATATCTCTCATTACGCTCATTTGCTGCAGTTTATGCAGCTCTCTTGGTCGTGGTATACGTTGCGGGGCGACCAGAGTTATGGAGTAAATCAGAGACCAGAGTTATGGGTAAATCAAGTGCGCATACTCATTTTCAGCCAATCAGGCGTGCCGTAACAGCGAGTATTTCCTTGATTTACCCAGAACTCTATGCGAATCCCCCTTGATTCTGGCTGCTGGCCATTTTCG